GCTCCACTTCTAATTATTTCCTGAGGGCAAGTCTTTAACAGCGTGGAATTGCAATGTTTCAGACTCTCAGCAGGTATCACTACACTTGGCTAATGGATGTGGGCTTTCCTCATTTAAGACCCAAACACATCTATGCTTCAGTCTTGYGCTGATGGGAAACTTCGGCATCACAAGTCCCCATTTGCAGAAAACRCCGTAATCCCCCAAATCCATACCCTTAGGAGCCACTCCAGGAATGCCTTAAATGGCCACCAGGTTCACTGGSAGCTTCTCAGCTACCGCTGCTGGGTAGGTAGGTAGGTCTAGCTCAGGGAGCTCTTCCTTAGCAGGGATGTAACCACAGCATTCAGCAGAGATCTTCATAGAGCCACTGTGGTTGGAAAAGATCTTTGAGATCATCAGGTCCAACCGTGAGCCCCTCAACACCCTCCTGCTGAACCGTGTCCCCAAGTGCCTCATCTACACGTTCCTTGAGCGCTGCCAGGGACGGTGACGCCGCCACTGCCCTGGATGCCTGTTCCAACACTTGGCTACTCCTTCCATGTGGAAATTCCTCCTGGTATCTACCCTGAAGCTCCCCTGGCCCAACTTGGGGCCATTTCGTCTTGTTCTGTCCGTAGTTATTYTGGTGGAGGGACTGACCCCGTCTCCCTGCAGCCTCCATTGAGGTAGCTGTAGAGGGTGATAAGGTCTCCCCAGAGCCTCCTCCTCTCCACACTGAATAACCCTGGTCCCTCAGCCACCCCTCGTGAGCTTTGGGCTCCAGCCCCTTCTCAGCTCTGTTGTCCTCCTCTGGACCTGCTCCAGCACCTCCCTGTCCTTGTAGCAAGTGCCCAAACTGACCCCAGGGCTCTCGAGGCAGCCTCAGCAGCACCCAGCACAGGGGCACGATCCCGTCCCTGCTCTATCTTCCCTTCAGGTCGAGGCCTGAGACAGTCACTCCGCTTTCACTGCACTTTCGTTTGGGCTTTCATCTTCTCTTCTTTCCTCTCACCGTTTATTTCTGTGCTTCTGTGCTGCTCACTTGGGATAAGATCCCTCCTGTATCCGGTCCCAAAGAAGCAGCTATACTTGCACTTAAGTAACCCGGGGTAAAACAGCCCTGGAATTGCACTAAGCTCCGGCTTCCCACATGGTATGTTACTAAACTGCACAGCAGTTGCCGTTCTGAAACGATCTGTAAAGGTTACCACAACAACAGCAGGATGCCAGCTTATTTATTTTGCACGTGGCTTTTCAAGCTCCCTATCGGAGAGTACATCAAGTCTCCGCGGAGCTCTAGCATCAATGCCACATTCTGCGAAGCAAGGAAAATATAATATTTGTACAGTGGGTCTTTAAATCACTTTCTGACAACAGATCAATCTTCCAAGCAGCCTTGTGGTGTTACGAGGAAGAGAAGGGGACGTTTTTGAGWTGAAGGAGTACGAGGCGCGCGCTGCCTCGCTGGGTTCGCCCCTTCCTGCACYGAACTGCAGCGCGCTGCGGCCGCCGTCGAACTGAGCTGCCCCAATCGGGTTTACGGTGGCGCTAATAGGAAAGAGGATCGTATAACGCTGTTAATACGTGCCGTGTAATTAACAGTAATGAGAGTCGCGTGGTTAAACGCCCCTTGCCTCACCCYGAGAGCCCACCTCTAGGTGCAGTGTTTATTTTACAGCAGCGGAGAAGCAGCGCGGGGCCAAAGCAGCTGCACCCGCGGCCATTAGGCAAAGGGAGTCATGGTGCAAAAGGGGCGCCCAGCATCGCAGGGGGCCGGGCTCGGCGCCCCGCAAACCCAAACCCGGCCAAGGAGGCCCCAGGCCCCTGCGGGCATTTTAGGCTGAGTTGCTCTGGCATTTGTAGGTTTGCACCCTCTGGAAATCCCTAGAGTTTTCCTTCTCCAGGAGTAGCTGTGGTGGTTAAACGCGGAAGGGCATGTGACGTTCCTTAAATCACCATGATCGTTTCCTAAGGAAGTGTTTCTCCGTCTTGAGGCCTGCGGATAACATTCTCCTTAATTAGAAAAGTGGCGTTTTACCTCCCTYTCTGCAGGGGTGCAATTTATTGCCTGAGCGGGCGGCAGTGAAAGCCGGGCCTTAAATCTCAGCCCTGTCGCCCGGCGCTYGGTTACCTCAACCTTCCCCTCCCTCCCTACGGGAGCCCTCGCGCACCGGCCACCCCGGGAAGCTGCTGTGCATTCGCTACGCGACATACACTTTATTTTTGTAGGTGTAAATTTAACTGGAGAACGAACCCGCGGAAGCCATAAAACCCAGGGATGCAAACAGGRCCCACGAGCCGGCAGACGCCGAGCRACGGGAACTCGGAGCAGAATAGGGTATTAATTGCAAGACATGTGAAGGCCTAATTCCTCCCCAGCTCCCCAAATAGAAAGAGAGTGGAAATAAATGCTTCCAAGTAGGGTATTCTTGGTGAATTAGTGTGAGCGTTCTCATTTTATCTTCCTAACGATGACTTGAGGTGACTTTGGTGTGAGTTTAAGCGCTAGAGACAGGAAAGCCGGGAAGGAAAACGGCTCCGAGATGTCCACGCTGGAGCGTTGGGCAGGCTTTTCAAAGCAGCATTTTCCTGTTGAGGGGGATTTTCAGAAGCACTCAGGTCACTCACAGCCCCCAGCTCCTCCACTTTAACCCTTAGGAGTTTTTACTGTTCAGTTTTACAGGTTGCGGGCGTGTGGGCCGCGCTTTGCAGCCCGCAGCCGCCTGCTCCCTTTCACCCCTGCTCCCTTCGGGGCCTTGTCCGGAGCATCCCGGGGTTTCCCAAGGAGCAGGATCAGCCCGGGGGGATCCGGGGAGCAGGGGGCCAGTACGAGGGAAGCCACCGGGATCCCACTTGGAACCTCCTGGATCCCACCTCGCGTAGCATAGCTAAACACGAAAATAAATAAATAGGGCTAAACACGTAAATAAATAAATCCCAATTTTCAGACGCGTGGTAGGAGGGTAAACGGCACAAGCGGCTTTTATTCAGCCCTGAGCTTTGCCTCGCTCATGGCAGAGGGGCTGCAAGGCCGCCCCTCGGGGCTGCTCCGTTCCGCGCGGATCCGCTCCGGGTCCTCC